CCGAGAGCCCTCGGGCCCGTGTGGGTCGCTCCCCACATCCTCTCAGTGACATTTTCCGGACGTAGAGAAGCACGGGTTCGTTTCTCAGGTCGGTGTTGGGTTTAGAAGCCCCCAAGCTCTTTGTTCTGACAGTTAATTGGTCCCGTTGGTTTTCCGTGTAGACCTGCCACTTCCTGTGTGTAATGACGGGTCCGTCTTTTCTTCCAAATCTGTACTTCTTTTATTTTTTTCTTGTCCTATCGCTTTGGCCGGTCTTCCGCTGCCACGTCCCCCCACGTCTTGACCTCTCGGTGGCCAACGCCCGTAGGTCGTGCCCCCTGAGGGTCGGTCAGTGTGCCCTCGTCCTGAGCGGGCCTCCCCTGTCGGGGACCTCCCGTTGTGTGTGCGACAAGTGAGCTCACGGTCGGGAGGGGCCGGCAGGGGAAGACGGGCCGGGACTGGCCGCAGCTGAGCCGTGTGGACGGGCGGGACGAGGGCTTGGGGCGGCGGTGGGGGCGGGGGGCGGACACTGGTCACCCGGGAGGGAGCCCATGTCTGGCTTGGGGGCACCAGGGACACCAGTCACTGTTCCCCAGACCTGCCGGCCAGGTCCCAGGCTCTGTCTCTCCTTCTCCTGGGGGGGCTGAGCGACACTGTCCCTGCTGACCACCAGTCCCAGCTCCCTCCCGACCCTGCCCACCCTCCGTGCCTGTCTGTCCTGGGCTTTGTGTAAGGCCCACATCCTGGGTGGGCTCCCGCCCGGGTGGCTCTGTCTCTGTCTTCTGCCTTTGACCTCCACCTCTGGCTCCTTCTCAAGTCTCCTATATCCCGAGACTCCCTTGCTCACTCCTTTCACGCATCCATGCGGGTCCACAGGTGTTTCCTGTGACCTACTGTGTGCCAGGCTCTGCGTCAGGACAGCAGATGGGGACAAAGGGTGAGCGTCCTCTGTCCCCTCCCAGAGAAGAGCTGAGAAATGAAGGAATTGCCGGCGTGCAGGGCAGGCTGCCTGGAGGAGGCGTCTTGCAGCACGTGCAGGCCAGGGCTGCTCCTGGGCGGACGGCCTGAGGCAAGTGGACCGGCCTGAGGAGGACAGAGGGAGGCTGGGTGGCAGGAGCCCCTCGGAGAAGGCCGTCAGGCCCCCAGACAGGTGGGTGGGGCACCAGGCCGGCCACAGCAGTGGACAGCGTCCTGCCACCACAGGGTCCCGAGGCAGAGGGGCTCGGACAACGCAGCAGAGGAACCACAGGAGGGCGGGAGGAACCAGCCAGGTGGGGCTGTGAGGGTAGGCATCTTGAAATTCTCAATAACTTTTGAGCCGGGGACCTTTTCATTTTGCACCTTCAGGTCACGTGGCCAGTCCTGGGGAGAAGGCAGGCAGGTGCAGAGACCCCAGGCGGGACTGTGTTCGGAGCACTCAGCGAGGGGGCTGTGGGGCAGGCGGAGAGGGAGAGGGGCCGGTGGGGTGAGGCCGGGAAGTCACCTGCCGGGGCCTGAGCAGGGTGACACCATCTGAGTTCCGTGGGGGCCTCGTGGCCACGAAGAGATGGCTCCGGAGGGCAGGGGCTCGGGGGCGCCTGGGGGCTGCCGGGCCGCAGGTGTGTGACGGGTGTGTGGAAGGGTGGGACTCGCGGAGGACAGCGAGGTTCTGCGAGCCGCCCTGCTGCCTGGGGGCCGCGTGCTGCTGGCGGGCGGCGGGGTAGGGGGTCCTCGGGTTGACTTGGAGAGGGGACGGGCCGGGAGGCAGAGCAGGGGGCGGGGTTAGAGGCGGTGATGGGCCCTCCCCCACTCTCCTGTGCGCACACATGGCTCCCCCAGCCTGGAGACAGGTGTGTGCCTGGCTGGTGCAAGGGCAGGCCCGGTGGGGCCCCCCTTCTCGACTCCAGGCAGTGTGAGAAATCGGGTTGCCCCGGAAGTCCTCCTGATAGATTCCCACAATCAACTGAAAACAAAACGCACGATCTTTTCTCCTGATGAGAAAAGGCAGGTTTAACTGGAGCTGGTCAGCAGTGGGGCCAGAGCCAACGCAGAGACGTGGGTGGAGAATACGCTTGAAGGCGTTTGAAAGCGATCGTGATTCCCCAAACGATGTGCATCGTGACGCCTTCGTGTTGCGAACGTGGAGCGACGCTGACGCCTTGGCCGCCAGAGCCCGGCACCCCCGCACGGCGCACTTCTCCATCTCGTGGTCGCTATGCCTTCGTTAAGTCATGTCGGGGGTGGCGTTTGCTGTCACGCTTACGGTGACTGTCCCAGGACGTGGTTCTGGGAGGTGGGGCCGCGGGTGGCTGGGGATGGGGGGCCAGGCGCCACGGCCTCGTGCGACCCCCACCAACCCTGCCCCACGTGCGTCATTCCACTCACCGGGATGGCCCGGACCCGTTATCTCTCCCACTTCCTTCCCGTCAGGTCTCAGAAGCCAGCCCAGCCGCAGTCCGCGATGGCTCTTGGTGCTGTGAGTGTCGAGTAGCGTCGAGGTGCCCGTGGCATTGGCCAGGCTGTCCTCGACTCCACTG